GCCACAGTGTGAGATTGTATGGACCAGAATATGTAGTATATATATAGAGTCTCCACTTTGCCACAGTGTGAGATTGTATGGACCAGAATATGTAGTATATATATAGAGTCTCCACTTTGCCACAGTGTGAGATTGTATGGACCAGAATATGTAGTATATATATATATAGAGTCTCCACTTTGCCACAGTGTGAGATTGTATGGACCAGAATATGTAGTATATATATATATGGAATAGTCTCCACTTTGCAACAGTATAATAAGTGGGGAGATTGTATGGACCAGAATATGTTATATATATATGAAGAGAGTCTCCACTTTGCCACAGTGTGAGATTGTATAGATGGGAATACATGTATGTGCCTATGTGGGCAGATCCATGGAAGTATTGGTGCCAGTGGTGCAGATTATGCAGATTATGTTGTGTATGAAAGATAACGAATATGAGGAGACATCTGCCGGCACAGGAAGTGTCTGTGAACATTGCCAGCATTTTGCAGATACCTCATAAACATTTGGCAGTCTGTGGATATTTCTGTCCTTCAACAATGATATCAAGCAGAAAAGATTAAATGTAAATATTTTCATATAGATAAGAGAAGCTGAGACATCACAATTCTTCCTAAAATATCCACAAGTGATTAATATAGTTGTTTTCTTCTCCATTATGGTGTAAGTGGCATGTGAAGCAACAGACTCTGGAGGCATAGTGGTTGGGTAAATGGTGCTGTACAGTATAGGAGATCTGTGTCTGGGTAAATGGTGCTGTACAGTATAGGAGATCTGTGTCTGGGTAAATGGTGCTGTACAGTATAGGAGATCTGTGTCTGGGTAAATGGTGCTGTACAGTATAGGAGATCTGTGTCTGGGTAAATGGGGCTGTACAGTATAGGAGATCTGTGTCTGGGTAAATGGTGCTGTACAGTAAAATGGGTAAATGGTGCTGTACAGTATAGGAGATTTGTGTCTGCGTAAATGGTGCTGTATAGTATAGGAGATCTGTGTGTCTGCGTAAATGGTGCTGTACAGTATAGGAGGCGTAAATGGTGCTGTACAGTATGGGAGATCTGTGTCTGGGTAAATGGTGCTGTACAGTATAGGAGATCTGTGTCTGGGTAAATGGTGCTTGACAGTATAGAAGATCTGTGTCTGGGTAAATGGTGCTGTTCAGTATGGGAGCTCTGTGGTATGGGTAAATGGGGCTGTACAGTATAGAAGATCTGTGTCTGGGTAAATGGTGCTTGTCAGTATGGAAGATCTGTGTCTGGGTAAATGGTGCTGTACAGTATAGGAGATCTGTGTCTGGGTAAATGGGGCTGTTCAGCAAAGGAGATCTGTGTCTGGGTAAATGGGGCTGTTGGTATTGGAGCTCTGTGTCTGGGTAAATGGGGCTGTGCAGTATAGAGCTCTGTGTCTGGGTAAATGGTGCTGTTCAGTATTGGAGCTCTGTGTCTGGGTAAATGGAGCTGTTCAGTATTGGAGCTCTGTGTCTGGGTAAATGGTGCTGTTCAGCAAAGGAGATCTGTGGGTACTTGGGGCTGTTCTGGAGATCTGTGTATGGGTAAATGGGGCTGTTCAGTATTGGAGCTCTGTGTCTGGGTAAAGTTCAGTATGTGAGATCTGTGTCTGGGTAAATGGAGCTGTTCAGTATGTGAGATCTGCGTCTTTGTAAACTGAGCTGTTCAGTATGGGAGCTCTGTGTCTGGGTAAATGGTGCTGTTCAGCAAAGGAGATCTGTGTCTGGGTAAATGGGGCTGTTCAGTATGGGAGCTCTGTGGTGTGGGTAAATTGGGCTTCAGTTGGGTGTGTAATATTTAGATCTTCCTGTTGAACCAACTTTCATCTTTCCTTGAAGAGGCTATGGAGTAGCCAGTTGACCTGCTGGAGCCATGGGTTTGACTCCCCACATGACTGGTACCTCCCTGCTGTGATGATGCTGGAAGTAGGATATAGTCTTACCCACACTGTCACACACTTCAGTGTGAAAGGGTTTAGTTAGTCCCGGGTGGTCTGAACATTGAGCTGCTTTGTTCCTCCAGTGCTGGAGATAGCACCGTGTCTGTAGTCACATGCTTGTGTTACAACTGTGAGTTGTGCTCCAGCATGTTTCAAGGATGCTACAGGCAGCGGTATGAAAACTAATTGAATCTTTTGGGACTGGACCATTCTGAATGATGGAGTGACAATCAATGCTATGAACGTGAATCCCAGACTCACTTAATCCTGCCAGAGCCTGGGGAAATTACTTAGTCGGGTTCTAGTCCCAGATTTGCCATGATTGTGTTTTTTGTTTGGTTGTGTCTATATTATTTGTTTCACCATGTCTCTGCTGATAGGTTTCACCATGCCTGTGCTGATAGGTTTCACCATGTCTGTGCTTACAGGTTTCACCATGTCTGTGCTTAAAGGTTTCACCATGTCTGTGCTTACAGGTTTCACCATGTCTGTGCTTACAGGTTTCACCATCCAGGTTTCACCATCCATGTTTATAGGTTTCACCATCCCATCACCATGTGCTTATAGGTTTCACCCATGTTTCACCATGCCTGTGCTTATAGGTTTCACCATGTCTGTGCTTATAGGTTTCACCATGCCTGTGCTTACAGGTTTCACCATGTCTGTGCTTATAGGTTTCACCATGTGCTTATAGGTTTCACCATGCCTGTGCTTACAGGTTTCACCATGTCTGTGCTTACAGGTTTCACCATGCCTGTGCTTACAGGTTTCACCATGTCTGTGCTTATAGGTTTCACCATGTCTGTGCTTATAGGTTTCACCATCCATGTGCTGATAGGTTTCACCATGTCTGTGCTTATAGGTTTCACCCATGTCTGTGCTTACAGGTTTCACCATGTCTGTGCTGTGCAGGTTTCACCATGCCATTCTGTGCTTATAGGTTTCACCAGGTTTCACCATGCCTGTGCTTATAGGTTTCACCATGTCTGTGCTTATAGGTTTCACCATGTCTGTGCTTATAGGTTTCACCATGCCTGTGCTTATAGGTTTCACCAAAGTATGTAATGTCATGGAGGTTTCACCATGTCTGTGCTTATAGGTTTCACCATGATGGGTTCTCATGCCGTGCTGATGTACTGTCACCATGTTTGTTATATACTCCTTCACACAAGATGGTCAAGTTGCTTGAGGTTTCACCATGTCCCCTATAGGTTTATACTCCATCACACAAGATATAGGTCAAGTTGTGAATTAGGTTTCACCCCTGTGCTTATAGGTTTCCATCACACATGTCTGTGATAGGGTCAAGTTGCTTATAGGACCATGTGCTTATAGGCTCCACCATATGTTTCACCATGTCTGTGCCTGTTTGCATGTTATACTCCACCACACTGTGCTTATGGTCAAGTTGTGGGAGTCAGCATCCCTGTGCGTTATACTCCATCACACCAAGATGGTCAAGGTTGGGAGTATATGCTCCCCTCCATGCCTGTTAGGTTCCACCATCTTGTGCTGGGTTTGTGCAAGATGGTCAAGTTGGGAGTCGGCACCCTGCGATATACTCCTTCACACAAGATGGTCAAGTTGGTCAAGTTAATCGCCCCTGCGTTTTCTGATAGCAAATATATCAACCTTCAGTCAAGACAATCATTGTAAAGCCTTCTATGATTTGTGATGATATTGTGACATTGAAGTGACTGGTGACATCACAGTGATCAACGAAACAAAGTTGTACAATATCATTGTGGAAGTCAGTGCGAGATGAAAAGCTGATCCATTTGCTGTACCCCCCCAGGGGAGTCGATGTCGTCACCATGAGAGGTGACCAGATGGTCAGAGGGTTGGTGTCATGTCATCACAGGAGTTGGGGGAATCAGTGGATTGTGTGATCCAGACTTGATTAATTACAATCTGTCATCGTCTTGGAGGGGATGTTGCCATGACCTATTAAGACGTGAGGATTACTGGTCACAAGGGAATTAACTGATTAAATTCAGCCTCAAGTCAGGCATCTCTACATTAGATGAAGGGGATAAGCAGTGATTCCACGTTGTGTGTCAATAATTCTATACCCATGGCCTTACCAGTTATAGAGAATTGTTGTATAGCTCAATCAGTCTGTGACCGCCTCCGTGGTGTAGTGGTTAGAGTGTCCGCCCAGAGAGCGGAAGGTCGCGGGTTCGATCCCCGACCGCGTCATACCAAAAGACGTTAAAATATGGTACTTGTTGGTCCCTGCCTGGCGTTCGGCATTAATGGGTACAAGGACGGGTCGGCTCGGAGTCAGTATAATGTGTCTGAGTGGGGTATTCATGCTTCACTGCGGCATGGTATCTCAGTGGGCTAGCACTATAAAACCAGCTTAAGTCTGGACTAGTACAAGCAGCCGCACATACACATACACATGCATGCATGTCCTCATATGAGCGAAATATTCTCAAGCACGACGTAAAACCCAATTTCACCTCACTTCACCTCAATCAGTCTGTTGTTGGATGATGAAATCATCTTCGATGTCAAAGACATTAAGGAAACCACCTTATTATTTGAAACTGATCACCTATGTCCAGTGTTGGTGGTACAACATGTTGATGGTACAACATCCTTGATCCATGCATGATGGATGATTTGGTACACATTTATTTGAAATCAAAATTGAATGTGATTAATAATGCATGAGAGTTTTGAATGATTTGGTACACTACCATTTATTTGAAAACTGCTAGGCTTGTACCATTAAAAGACTGGGGATGAATGGTTTGACACCATCAGCCCACAGTGTGTGCTGTTTTCTCTAGGCTTGTACCATGTAACCAAGACTGGGGAGTGAATGGTTTGACACCATCAGCCCTACGGTGTGTGCTGTTTTCTCTAGGCTTGTACCATGTAACCAAGACTGGGGAAGATATCAACAGTAATTACCTTGTCTATTTCTGTTGCCTTCAAAGTAATATGAAACCTCAGAAAACTGCAGTATTTGAGTTCAGTTAATGTGTTTGAAATCTATTAATTCTTCCATCTTAGCCTGCTGGGTTTATTCCTACCCTACTGATGTAGTAAATGTGAGATCAGATGAAATGTGTCTGTGTGGTCATCTGGTTCACTGTCCCACGCTGTGGTCACTGTGCCTGGAGAGTGGGAGGTGAGGCTAGAAAACTGGAGGTGAGGCTGGGGGTGAGGCTGGAGATTTGGGGGGTGACAGTTGGGGATGAGGCTGGAAGGTTGTGGGGTGACAGTTGTGGGGTGAGGCTGGAGAGTTGGGGATGGGGTGGGGGCAAGGCTGAAGATTTGGAGGGTGACATTTGGGGGTGAGGCTGGAGAGTTGGGGGTGAGGCTGGAGAGTTGAGGGGGTGACAGTTTTGGGTGAGGCTGGAGAGTTGGGGGGTGAGGCTGGGGAGTAGGGGACAGAATGTATCACTTGGGAGTGTCGGTGGTAAGGCTCAATCTGGTAGGGTAGTTAGGTAAGGATAAGGCCCTGTCCTTGGTTGGGTAGGGGTAGGTATGTTTTAGGGACAGTCCTTGATTCAGGTGAAGTTAAGTAGGGTTAAGGCTCAGCCCTAGGAGGTGTATTTAGGGACATTTAGCTACAGGTTATTTAGTTCCGATGTTTTTACAGAGCCAAAGGTTAGAAGGGAGGGGTGAAGATCTGTGAGGTCAGATTGGTTACATTCTAGCAGTGGGTTAGGAAAGGGGACTAGTTTGGATACTTCATGGGGACTTGACATTGGGGGTAGCGGTCAGATTATGGGGGAGACTGGGCAAGGGGGGGGGGGGCTTAGTTCAAGTTGTGATCCAGGTGAGGAGATTTTGAACCTTTCAATACCTCTGGTTGATACGATCAGTCTCACGATCAGTCACTCGTCTTATCTCCTGTCTGGCAGTCTACAGTGTCAGCCACTGCCTCCTTACTGCTTTGTGTGGCAGTCTCGCATCAGGGGACCAAGTATTGGTGTAAACACAGTTGGACGATTAACGCCATCGCGACTCCCTAGGGAACACTTTAGTCTTTTCTGTCATGGCTCTCTCTTTCCTCTTTGTCTGTGTAAGTACTTAGTCTCCTCTCGGAGACCACATACCATGCCAGCCATCTCGTGCTCCTTAACCATTCAGGTCCTAACCAAAGTTCCTCAAATGTACCTCAAATCTTCCTTGTAGAAGGTGTGTAGAATCAACTGTGACTGGATGCGGTGAAAATATGTTTCGGTTTGAAATGCCACGTGGTGTTGTTATTGTTTGTTTCTATGGTGATGTCTGAAATTGATGTTACTCAGCTGGTAAAGGGTTACGGTTTTGATGCTCACCATAGGGAGGGCTTGTGACACTGACAGGTATATATGCAATTAAGTTGGCTTGGACAGCTCAATGGATTCCTTAACATGATGAAAAAATGTAATAAGTAGAGCCTACCACTGTCCATCTAGATTAATCAGGACAGCTGAGAGTGTTGAGTTTCAAGGGAGAAAGAATGAACTTTGGAGGATCGAGTGGTGCCATTTGTAAACTTATCCTGGGGAATGTGAACTATTCTGTTGTTACCTGGCAGATGTGATCAAACAACAACATGATGCCTCTGTTTGCTTTATATGATATTCTGTGCATGGAGCCTTGTACTACTTTCCTTGCATTAATAAATAGAGTTCATACTACTTCCCTTTGTCTTAATTAAGTGGTGTACTACTTTCCTTCTACATCTTGAATTGAATTGCATACTGTTTTCCTTTGTCTTAGTTAAATGATACATTTCTTTCTATCTATATTTGGAATGTAATTACATACTACTTCCCTGTCCTAATTGAATGATACATTACTTTAGAAATTATAATATTTATTGTATTTTATTTTATCCCTGAAATGATAGACATATATATTATTCAAAGGAAATTAAAGAACAGCTGAATTTCTAAACTTTTTCATATGGCTGTCGTTCATCTGTAACTGCCATGACAAGTTCACCTTGGGTGATCTGTAAGTTCTTTAGTCATGTCTTTTTTTTCATGAATTACGGACGTACTTTCATCTCGCATAAGACATCAAGGGAATAAGGACCTAATCAGTTGGTATACAGATTCTTAGTGTACAGATTGTTAGCATACAGATTGTTAGCATACAGATTGCTATCAGCAGGGACTTGAGGATTGATCTCTTTGAAAACATTGATAGAAGTGAACTTCAGCACACTTGACAGTAATGTTGACAAATCAATTTAGAATTACAGTTTGTCTAGTTAGATGAATCCGATTTAGATGAGTTTATGTAGACAAGACAGTGTCTGAGACTAGCGTGTCTGTTGACCCGAGGGCTAGTCATCAGACGATAGCTTTATTCTGCTTTATTCTGGCATCGACTATACATATATGTGGGGCTGAAGACGCTTGTTGTGGTCAGGAACCCAGCAAATGACAAGAGCTCTTGTCTGTAAGCCAAGAGATAACCCTGTCAGATAGTTGTCATGAAAATAGCACTGTAGACAATGGAGGAGGGAAAGAAACAGGCTATGGGGTGCAACTGAAATATGTTGGAGGGTAAATAGTATCTTGTAGATACGTTGGATGGTTTCAAAGTTCTTAAAAAAAGTCATATTGTCAGACGGGCTTTTACATTGTAAATTTAGTGTGACTGTTGATGTGATAAGTTTTTAACAGTTTGAAGAAGGAGTTCACCGAGGTAAACACCCTTCGTCTTATCCAGCTAGTATGTAGCTAGTTTGAGACAACTTGTTGATGTAAAAACGAAAGACGGGAAAAAACCCATCTTCCCCATCTAGATTTAAACTTGTCACAGACTAATGGATGTTGGTCATACATAACCCTGATGGTCATATCCATGTAGGCACGGAAAAGAAATACTGTACTGGACACTTTAAGTGAAATGTTGGAATTTCTTGACAGAAAAGGGAGCTGTATAAAAATTGTATGTAATTGTGTAGTATTATAAAAACATATAGCAGTGATCAAACTGTTCAAACATAAAACTAGAATTTGTTTCTCTGAAAACAAATACATGTCGTGTAAAGCCTCCGGCCCTTTACTCCAACTCTGTCGATTATCTTCTTATTACAGTGTGATTTGAACAAAATGCTTAAGTGAAGTTTGACTGAATACACAGTGCAGGGCTCCAGATAATTTTTCAACATCAGGTGTACGTACTCCATATATTTTCACTACAGGAGTACTGGAAAAGCTTAAGAGTACATTATTGTTTCGTTTCATATACTCATGCCAATAATGGTTTTCACCCCCCTCCCCACCCACACCCCCTCTCCAATAAAAGAAGGGGGTGACAACCATTATTGGCATGAGTATATATGCACCACAACATTGCTAGTCTTGTGTAAACAGGTCAGTAAACAATAAACCAATATTTTTCTTCAGATAAATACGTCTGTAAATGAATCTAAGACCGTGCACTATTGCTGTGGTGTGTACCTGCTACGTTTTCTAAATTATTTGCTACTGTATTGTGCATATTTTTTATCCGTACATACGCCGATACGGCCCTTAACTGGAGCCCTGCACAGTGCCTTTAAGAAAGTGGTGATCTTCAACACGTTATATCTGGGATTACACTTTGTCAGTAATGTACAGCTTCTAGTACTGTTTTGTGGGTGTGAGTCCCATCTGGGATTCAAACCCATACCCTGACAGAGTGAGGCACCTAACCCCAGCACACAAAGTCGGTGGTTTCATCACCTCTAAGGTGTTCACAAGGTATGTGACCTAGACTAATAGTTGTCAGACTTCTGTTTTTGTGGAGGCGGTGGCTCGTCACGCTAAAGACCCGGGTTCGATTCTCCACATGGGTACAATATGTGAAACCCATTTCTGGTGTCGCCCGCCGTGATATTGCTGGAATATTGCTAGAAGCGGCGTAAAAGCATACTCACTCACTCACTGTTTTTGTGGAAGCCAGAGTGGCTGAGTGGGTTAGATTGCTGACTTTGTCAACTGGATATTGGGTGCCTCACCCAGAAAGTGTGGGTTCGAATCCCGGATAGGGCTCACACCCCAAAAAAGTACTGGAATCTGTACTTTACTGAGAAGATGCAAACCCAAATAAAATGTGAAGTTTTATTGTTTTTTCCTTATTAAAGAAATATTACAACATGTCAGCATAATTATGCGATATAATTTTTACAGTGGAGTTTATGCTTAAAGATAAATTGTCAGAAACACAAGCCTGATTAATGAGTTAGGTGACCATATCATTTATTGGGGATTTGTGGAGCTTTTACCCTCCAGGAAACTTTGTCGCTGCTCACGTGACTAGGACAGGGATCTTATAAGAACTGGGATAGATTCGTGAAATGTGAGAGGATATAACACTTAGCCATGATGTATTCAACAATAAATGTGCACTGACCTTGTCTCCCAAGACTGACCTTTAGAAACAAATCGTCCACATTTGAATATTTGTTATTGTATGATGGGGTAATGGATATGTCGATGTTAACGTTGTGTGAACGTCCTGTGCTGCAGGCTGGTGTTTCTGTACGGATTACCCACCGTCAATCACGACAGTTCTACTGCATTGCTGACATCAATACCCTATAATTTTGTATCATATTTTCAAAGTGGATTGAAACCCAGGCACATATATATGACATTAGGGGCATGTTGTCAGCATCTTGCGTGTTACTTGCCTCGGAAGATAGCCAATCTGTTGCTAGGGTCAATATTAAGGAAACTGTGGTCACAAACAGACTGTAAACGAGATGAAAGTTATGTTGAGAGCAGGTAACCCTAACAAGGGTTTGCTGTGACATGTCTATCTGTCATCTCTGCTGGAGGAAGGAAGATCACTTGCTGTAGCCTCAAGGTCAGAGCTAAGCTGGTCCTGATGAGAATGTTACAACACCTTCAGCCCTGTGATGACAAGTAGTGTAATGGAACCACTTAATTGTATGTCTCTGTCAGACGTTCCCCATGTTACAACTTGTGTAACTGTATGAGGGCATGCTGTAGGAGTGCTGTGTGTAAGTTAGACTAACGCTTAGTCTCTGAATATATATAACTTGCTACAACCAATAACCGCACGGCCCTCGTAAGTCTGTGTCAAGAATACTTCAACACTGGCCTGTTATCACTTCTGTTGCTACAACCAAGTGTCTGTGTCAACCAAGTCTGTGTCAGAATACTTCAACACTGACCCCTGTTATCACTTCTGTTATCACTTCTGTTGTTATCACTTCTGTTGTAGTGCTACAACCAACATCAGTCTGTGTCAGAATACTTCAACATGGGCCTGTTATCACTTCTGTTGTAGTGCTACAACCATCATAAGTCTGTGTCAGAATACTTCAACATGGGCCTGTTATCACTTCTGTTGTAGTGCTACAACCATCATAAGTCTATGTCAGAATACTTCAACATGGGCCTGTTATCACTTCTGTTGTAGTGCTACAACCAACATAAGTCTATGTCAGAATACTTCAACATGAGCCTGTTATCACTTCTGTTGTAGTGCTACAACCATCATAAGTCTATGTCAGAATACTTCAACATGGCCCATTATGCTGTAACACTTACCGGGCCTGTTATGCTGTAGGCCCATTATGAAGCCGTCTGAAGTGAAGTGATTATTATGTTTCATATTTGTTTTTCTAATGATCTGAAATAATTCCAGCTGCATGGAAACAACTGTTCCATGTTATTGTGAATGTTTTGTTTGAACGCCATCTGTTCCTGTAGTTTGAAGTTTCCCTTGTTTCCGTGGTTTCAGTGGCTGCTGCGTTGGAGGAACCGGCCTGTATGTGCCCCAAGCACCTGTTCTCATGCGGCAACTGTATCTGCATCCCGCACCAGTGGGTGTGCGACGGCGACGACGACTGCGAGAAGAGCCAAGATGAGGCAAAATGTGGTATGTTTCTCTTCGGTTGAATGTGATGTTTGTTTGTATCTGGTCGATATTTTCATTGTTTGGAGGTGGCAACTCATATGTCATGTTTTGATTTTTATCAGCTGTTTTGACCCAGTGGCTTGCTGTAAAGGGAAGAAACTTTGTAGCAATAAGTGATAAGTTTGAAGACAGTTTTTATATCTTTTGGTGAAAACAAGGTGTAGATACACTGCAGCAAAGGGAATGACGTCCTCAGTTCTAGATGTTGTAC